GTTCACAGATAACTGATTCAAGGTTGACTGATGAATATCAAACACTTTTTGAGTCACACACTCAGGTGTGGCCCGAAACACGACGACTCGTGAGTTTATTTAGTTTATGTTTATGCAAGGAGATTAGCAGTGTGTTCACTAAAGGTCAGGTGTATCGTAAATTAGCTACTTCGCTTGTTGAACTGTTGAATAATTGTTGTTCTCGGAGTGACAGTTTGAAGAAAAAGTCGTCACTTAACTGCATATTGCTGCTGTTACCGAGATTTTCAGAGCCACTGGCGCATAGCTTTTTTTTGAAGGATTTACCGCTATCATCCTTTTTTTGTCAGGCTTGTCTCTTTTTTGTTGTCTGAGATGCCCCTTTCCTCCTTCTCATTAGATTTCTCTCGCTTATAAGTTAACAAGTTTTAGACTTTCCATCCAAATACGAATGGAAGACATTTGTCATTCTAGGTGTCGACAAGTCGACGAGACCTCAAGTGATATATTTTTACGATTGAAACCGTTGATTTTTATTGATCTAAATGCATTGTAGTTACATTTTCGCCTTAACTCACGTCTCATGTAACTTTGTTGAAGATGTTTAGCTTGTGGGCGCCGATATGTTGTTAGATTTCTTGAGATAAGCTCGCCATGCAATGTAAAGGAAGGTGAGGAGAAGGGGCCAGGCAGCTCTTGCTTCAGAACTAATTGCTTGCTCACAAGTTAGGCTAGGAATAAAAATCCTACAAGCGCTTTCTCTCCTCTCAAGTTGCGGTGGCAGATTGTAAGTTGGTCCTCGTTGATCGCACGTCATAAAGCTGCGTTACAGAACTGTGTTCGGAGTCGAGGAAAAGTCCCGCGCGGCAGTGTGAACAGTGAGCGCTATAGCTGACCTTCGAGTACCAAGGAACTGAGCCTTCGATCCCTTCCAGGTGCATCGGCCGGGAATCAAACCCGGGCCGCCCGCGTGACAGGCGAGCATTTTGTCGCTGAACCCTCAGTTGCTCCGCACGGCAGAACAAGCGGTGGAGCTGATCAAAAAGCTAGCGACTCGCTTTGTTCTCAAGGACCGTTTTTTCTAGGCACAGGTGTGGAATACAATGGCCAACCCCGCTTTTCGGCGAGATTGGCTGAAGAAGAAACACAAGTTCGAGGTGCGAGTGGACAAAGCTCTCGAGTATGTTGCACAAAGCACGAGACGAGCGACTTTGAAGGAGCTCAGCAAAGGGAAAAGGAAAGCTAAAAGGACACTAAATAATTCGGTCCGAGAACGCAGTACACTTCACATCCTCCGCAAGGAAACGGCACTGGAGGCAGCAACGGCGAAGGAGATCAGAAATCTCAAAGAAAAGGTGAAGCATCAGGAGACGGAAAGTGCTAGTCTCAAAGAGATCATTCTGACAAAAGAGCGACAGGAGATGGAATAAATTGGTCCAAGCCAGGGAAGCGCTACCCTGGAACAAGTGCAGACGGAGATGGAAACTGGTCGAGATTACTTCGAGAAAATGATGTAGGAAGTACAAGGAGACGAGGAAATGACAAATAAGCAAGAAGAGGAACGCACCGACCTTCCAGCACAAATTGGAAATTGAGACTCTACTCAATACGAAACCACTGCTTTATGAAGAAGCGGATTCAATAGCCGAACAAGGTCCGACACCCATAAACTTTCTTCAGAACCAGTTCGAAGTACCATTTCCGTGGGGCAACATCGAAAAAGACGAGAACGAAGAACCGACGTATGTAACAGGTGAAGAGAGAGGTCTCATCAGAGCGAAAAAGCAGGCGATACCAGCCTTGCAAAGCTACTGCAACCATACAGAGAAATTCTAGCAGACCAGGCGCACACCCACATATACATAACGTCCTTGCGAGAGCAACATCAGCCAGAAGTTGGGAACCGAAAACGCTGTGAGCCATGAAAAGATGCTATCGTTCTGATAACCGGCCGTCGTCTCCCAGCCCTTTCAACTTTGCGGGGACGAGTGCTGCAGCACCCATGAATGACCATATCACACCGAAATTATGGAATTTCCACCACAAGTAGTCCTTAACGAACACCAGGTACGGTGAAAGTTCGCCAAGGATTCCACAAGGATCATCGAAACTGTTTGCCCTGCAGCACCATTTCGTAATCACTTTGACTGTAGCTTTTGCTGAGCATTCACCTTTAATCTGTAATGCTGGCACGCCGAAGCGATCCTAGCTACGGTCGCTACGATTTAATTCCTCTTAGCCGAATGTTACGTCTTCCTCTACATTCCACTCATTATAGGAAGTCCGGTGCGCATAGTGTCACGTTGGGGATAGCGCGGTAACCTTCACATCATGGTACCGTCTTCCGACATCTGGGCAAAATAAGGCGAAGAGGACACAGACGAAGACCAGCTGACTTGGTAGAACTTCTAGCAGTTGCTTTGCAGATCTTTTGTCGATATCACCATGGAGGAGGTTGTTAGCAAGTTGATACCTTCTCGCACACTTCTACAGTTGCGAAAACAGAGTAACATATGCAGAGTCTACTTCTCCGACGTTCTAGAGCTCAACAGTTCCGGGGAGAAAATTGCTCCAAGTTGGTCATAGGAAACGCTTCTATTCGCGAGCTCCGCACAGTGGAACACACTATCCTTACTATGTGAATCTGAAGTGATATCCTCCACACGGGATGCAAAATATCGCGTGATTATTAGTAAAAGATGTGCCCTCATGTGTTGATCAGAAATTCGCCATGATTAACGGGACAAGCCTTCTAGAGGAGCGCAAAAAGGAAACTCGTGCCCGGGATCACCATGCGTGTGGAGTCGTGGGGACGCTTCGGTTGCGGTTGCTTCAGTTAGAGTTCAAGATGCCCATCTTACCGCATCTCTGTCACTCCCACCTCTGCGGATACACACGAGATCTTTCCCTGCAATCGGTGGGGAGAGACGGCAAAGGTCAAGTTCACATATACGGATATAATACTTCAAGAGAAAACGAAGCCTTACACGGCTCATTTGATACCCAACGTCCCGCTCGTTTGGAACTAATTCACGCTAACATTGTGTTTAATGAAAACGGCTCTGACTCCTCTGCTGGACTTTCCATTTACCATTGATGACACTTCCACGGCACTGTGGAATCTTCACCCAACACCAACAATAATCTCCAGGCAGGCCTGCGGCGGAGAAATTGAATTGCATAATGATAAACAGGTGCCTCCGTTCTGCAGAAACACAAATGAATTGCAATTGCAAGGACCTCACCATTACGAATCAAGACTTACGACTTCGACTTCCTGTCGTATATTCCTGGGCCATCTTCAAAAGAATTGGAGAAGGACAAGTCCAAGCATTTATTTCTAGCATGACAACGGCAGAAATAATAATAATAACCATGCAAGATAATCTGAAGACCCGTATCCTCGTTGTAAGATCACATGCGCCATCGAGAATGTCCTTTCATCAGATTGCCACAAGCGAGCAAAATAGCAAAAGTGGTGTCGTATGTACCTCATCCAGACCAGTACAAGCTGAGGTTAATTGCGAAACATTAAGTTTTACAGTCGAATGCAACCAAAGCGGAAGAGCTCTATCGCTGCGAGAATACTCGAATATATCAAAGATGCAGAGTGTCCTGCAGAAAATCTGACCCTTTTTCGAAATGGTCGGCTGCTGAATTATCCTCATCCGGCATGGCGGACAAGTGGCTGAGAGGTGACACAAGTAGCGGAGCTGGTGGATTTCATTGGCCCGATTTTACACATATCCTGGTGTACTCCTCGTGTTGTACAAGACGCAGCAGTCTTTGCGCTACTGTTACTACTCCCGTTGACCTATATTTCGATGTCGAGTATTGAATACGAGTTACAAAATGGGCCATTAAAATCATTTTCGGTAATGGCCGGGTACCTTTCATATGTTCGTGGATAAAAGTCTGCGTTATTGCCTACGTGTGGCAAGTAACCCACAGTTCTTTTTTCGGGGCTCCTAGTCCTTGAAAAGGAAACTGTGGAGGTTACTTGGCTGCCAGCAACCGAGGAAATGGGAATATCTCATTGAGGAGATGATTGCAACGGTATTTCAGTGTAATAGTGCAAGCTTTGGGTCATGACAAAATCTTGGATGCTTCAATCAATCGATTAGGAGCAGTCCATCCGTTGACTGTTGAGGAATATTTTACGGTGAACAATTTAATATATACATGGGCAGACATTGAACCTATGACAAGACTAAGAGTGGAGTCAGCGAATAGACCACCATAGCTAGAATTGCCATTGAAGGGAGGGAGCCGCTGTCGAAGAATTAATCAGGATTGTAGCCACTCTCTAACTGCCCAGGACGATCCCCAACTTGGACCCTCTCCGCTGCCTGGGTGACGGAACTTCTCTCCGAGTTCCCACGGCAAGCGACAGTGGTCACGCGGCGGTTACCCTACCCTTCCACTGGAAATTCAAACCTTCCCCTTCATGGCTCGACCGCGCGCGATCGCTTTCGGAGAGAAGATACCGGACCCTAGGTGTCTTCTCCCCAAAAAGTAGCCTTAATCTTACACACTTTCACTTCCTACATAGATCTGAGTTGGGTATAACACAATCAGCAGTGCAGTACAGTTTGTTTCACACATTTCAGGAAGTCCGTGTTGACTTCTACGCCGATTCGTTCTTTCGCTAGCTTTACACAATGAGACCATGTTGGTGGTTGTTCAGTTGTATTGAAGAGCGATGTGAGCAAACACAACCGCATACGTGCCGTAAACGACAGCAATCATTGGCCTAGAATAACATAAAGCTCCTCTCCCCTGTACCCGACAATTAGGAATCTTTTATTCGTAATAATTGGGACAAGCGGGATCCTCCAATCAATTATGCCTCTGTCAGCGAAAAGCATTCTTTATGTTTCTGGAAAATGAACGAGTACGCAACATTTAGCTCCAATGTCCTTTTTAGTGAAAGGAATTGCGGCTGTCCGGTCGTGGGTTTCTTCTCGACATTGAAAACGAGCTTAGCCGGTGCGAGATAATTATTCTAGGTCCCCTGACCATTGCCCTATGACCACCCTCGAGGACATACTAGAAATGAACGTATGAACGTTTTGCAGTTGGTTATACTTCAAGTGCACGAATTCCGACTTCCCATCCTTCCATTCTTCCCAAGTTTCCAAATTCTTAACTCCCTTGTCATCCAATTACGGATTACTGTAGCAACCATCATTTTCTTGCAGGTACACTATGCTCCCTGTAGGAGGATCTTTGCAAACACAGAACTCGGCGTTTACACTGTTCACCGTCATGACTTTCTTCTGGGTTCTAAAGCATCCTAAACGGGTTGCGGGTTCACGGAATAGTCCCATCTGAAAAGCGCCGCAATTTGGGAACCCTTGTGCAGTAATGGATACTTTTCCCTTACTATCAGTGCTGCTTTCTAGAGCGAATTAGAAATCACCTGTTTTGGAACATTAGAGCCCCCCTTTTGACGAACGCTTGTTCCATCATGGGTTAGAGAGGTTAGGGAGAGGGTCTGAGCAGTTTCAGGGTCCGGTTAATGTTTCCTTCGCGTCATTTAGCCACGTCTCATCCATGACAATCTGGCCATAGCTCCCCTGCTAGCATAGTATTAGTTATTGCCAAATTTCGTAGTACACATAAATACATAGATAGAGGTAGTGTTCTAAGAATAACCAGGAGTTTTCACCAAGTAATAGCTTAAGAAAAAGGATTTTCGGATTTTGTTTACACGTTTCGGTCATGGCTACATCATCGCGATGGCTTGGCCTTTTAGCTTCATAGGCCCATTTCATACTCCATCCCCCGTCTCCAAGCCATTCTGAAGTGAACCTTCTAGTCAAGTGAAGTGAGTCAACGTCTGTAGGCGAGCAGGCCTGAAACATTGGGCTGCTTAATAGAGAGCAGCAGTTCAGAAGCGTCTTGAAATATTGCCAAGTAACGAATCGCGTGTTAGACCGGTGCAGCTGTCATGTTGTGTTTGACTCCAGGAGCGACCAAATAGGATTATGTTGGGACACCTTGGAGTCAACAGACCTGCGACGAAAGGAAGTTTAAGAAACATCCTTCGTGTCACGGATACATAACAGGTGTGGGATTATCACAGCGATAGAGAATTAGGTGATTCGACGCGGAAATGTTTACGCAGTGGCTAAAGGCGTTGTTCAGCTCTGGAATGAGAGTAGCCTTCAACTGGCACCAGGGTAATACCCACGGTACCGCTGATTTACGCAACTGGCTCTCGATCAGGTCAGGAGGATTCAATGGCTAATTAATTTGATGCAAGTAACCGTTACCATCTCTGGGTCTGGCGAATTTTCGCTTCTTTACCGCCCTTTATTTCACTGAACTGAGTAGCTGACTTGATGGGGAAATCCAGCGCCTAAAGTGAAAAGCCTAGAGTGAATCTAAATTTAGACAATAACCACGCTAAATAGAAGATCCATCTTACCCTAAAACTTCCATTTGATAAAGCTTCCAAGATCCTCTCAGTTGAGTTGAACCTTTTTTACAAGGGTTTTATCTGGCAGGTAGTGCGAATAGGTATATACAAAACCCTCCCTAATTGTTCTAGGAGACCAGAAAAAGAACATGGTTGTTATGTTTTCTTGTGCCATTTACTAATAATACTATCCTTCCAAATTATGTAGGACTATGATTACTGTCTAGCAAGAGTATAAGTTCGGAATGATCACCTTTATTCTTGCGCCGAGGTGGTGTAGTGGCAAGTGGTGCACCATCACATACGCATGGTCACGGGTTCGAATCCCGGACCGATATCCCCGCGCAGGCTGACCAAGACTTCCATCCCCATGGGGTCGCTCAATTGGAGCTGGACTTGCCTGAGAGGATAAGTGCACTGACGATACGTGGTCCTGAATTAAGCGAGAGTTTTTATGGTCCAGAATTCTTGGCTCTCGGACCCTAGTGATATGCCAGTAACATTCCTAAGTAGTTTATGATTAAAAATATTTTTGTGCCGTGCGAGGTTGTTAGGTGGAACAAATTGTTAATTCAACAGCCTAACAATTCGGCGTAGGCCAGGGTTCCACTGCTGAAGCCTATTTTATATCTATATCTTTAAATCTTCTTGTTAGGTTGAACCCTGGCCTTTGAAGAAGACGATAGGTTAGGTCCGACGACGGTCGAAACGTTAGGTAATTGAATCACTAAATTGTTCAAACCCGCGGTTTTCTTAATGAGTTGCTAAATTCCCGTTATTATTTCAATTGTTTGGTTACAGTCAAATATGGAAGACGGATCAATACAAACCACATATAGCAATTTTGGATATCTCTGTGGCTTTACCATAGGAGAATTGGTCAACACTGCCACTCCTTCACTCTTGTGAGAGGAACTTCACCAGAAAATTGAAAACGTCCTTTAAAGGAAGTAAAAAAGGTTTTGAGAGAGATCGCTTTCCAATGTTTACTAAAAAGCAGAATTCAGTTTTCCTTTTACTGCTCAATTATCTACAGGAATAGCGTTGTGTAGTCCCAGTGTCCCAAAACCGCTCCTGTCAAGATCCCTTCATCCTACCGCCTTCTTTGGAAGTTCCAACAGGATGGATAACGTCGACGGCTTTACTGAAACGTCTGAAGGACCCTGGATTCACCGAAACTTGACTCAGAAACCAAAACTGACGCTTTCAAATCTTTTCCATAGTTCAATCAAGGAGATATCTTGCGGCGTTTAGCGCGAGTTGCCTCGCAACCTTTGATTGGTTTTCAGTGATTCGACCACAAAGCAACCGGCTTCCGCCGTCTACCAAAATACCCCCCCCCCCCACCTCTTCAGAGACCACTACCGACCACTACCAAGCCTCTTACTCGTGTTCTTCCGTTACGCTCTCGTTCCGGTACTCTGCCACCAGGAATCGACAACACGGCGACGACTGAAATGTGTGACTAAGGGAGGATACGATGAGACGGCGGCGACTCCGATTATGTACCTAGGCGTAGTGGATGTGGTTGACCTGACCTGACCACCTTCTTACTCAAACAAACTTCCTTTACAGCTGCTGCATTCTCCAGCATGCTGGTCGCGTTTCTTGTTGCCGCATTCATAGGTGAGTCGTTTACATACACTTAAACGAAATTGGTTGCTGACACTCACCTGGCTGATATGAAAGGGCAGGGGGCGCCCAAGACAGCCAACGTCCACCTCTCTTGTACTTTAGAGTAGGTTTCTCATGTTTACATGACTCTTCATAAACATCCATATATACCGAAATAACGATAGATAGCATCCCTTCTCTCAGTTCCGTGCCCAAGAATCCAGTCAGTTGGATAGTCGGTAGGGAAGAATATACCACTAACGAGTGCTGTGGTCCTTTATAGGAAAAGATTCTAAGACCAAGTCGAACACTGGAAATCGTCAAGTGTTGGGCCTAGCTCTTCGGGAACAAGCTGAAATTTGGGGCACGGGATTCAAGCAGCTTGATAAACCTAGAACTTCTCATGGCTACCGTTATGCGTAGTGAAGTCATTCTCTCTGGTTCGTACCTCCGAAACGGAGCTGGCGAGGCTGGTCCCTGAGGTGACTTCTGGTCCATAGGGCTATTTCGGTCATAAGTATCATGCGGAACTCCATGTTTGTTGTCCAACGCAGTTTGTCTTGGCCGGAAAATCGCATCAGTTTGTGCCATGAATGTGGACTCTCTCCGAATGGCAATAAATCCTGATGTGAACTGATTTCACTTCAATTCGGTGAAGGTCCACCATGGAGCGTTCATTACTACCTTCTCACCATAGGAGAGATTAAAGTAATTATAACCCATGTAAATGAGAAACAGGTGAAACCACGAAAGACTTGGATTTTTGGGCCTTGGGAGCATCCACCACCTCAGCCTCTTACCCATTACGCTATTGCCACGTCCATTGTGGAGATAGATATATACCTTTACTCTAATGAACAAACTCGGCATGTGACTCGGAGAACTCATAGTAGAAGCTTTCTTTGACTCCAACTAGTAGAAATCGTCGTTGGCCTTCAGCTGCAATCTCGAAATACTTCGTAGTCCATTCTAATCACATGTAGCAGTCCTGTACAAGTACGGGACTGCTACTTGGTGACTGGAGTGGACTACGACATAACAACAAGTTTGGAATCCTCCCCTTCTCCACATTGGTATGAAGTCTCGATAAAGTTGTTCGGACGTGTCTTACTCCATAGCAACCATATGAAGTATTATCGAGTCTGAACAACTGAACAGCCAGGGAATGAGATTAATCTTTTCCACGGGCACCTGCTCCGTCATCCCTCTTCCGTTGAATTTGGTCTCCAAACAAATCCCATCCCTGTTCATCAGCACCCATTCATGAAAAGGGTGCTGAAGAATAGGGATGGGATTTGATCGGAGAAATCAAGAGATTCACGTACAAGGAATATGGAAGAACAGACAGACAACGTCTTTGATGGATCCTACAAATCATTCATTTTCATGGATTTTTCTGCATTTGAGCAGGATCACGGCTAAGATTTACCTACGAACAACACTTTATAGCCTTCCTTATACTGCATAGTAACCACCATGCTCTTCCTGTTATATATAGATTCCCAGTGACAGTCAGTTGTGCCGAGCATTGCACTTCGCCACGTAAGAGCTCGGGTAACGAACCTGCTCATTACTAGTATGGGTCAGGAGGTGCCAATGCGGCCGCCTTTTGTGAGATGGGTGGACTGCGCGATGAGTCAGCACTTTCACGTTATACCTGTAAAGACAAGACTTGTCCAGGTTGGTCACGACAGAACTGATGGATTTTGTAGCTAATGCAGTGATCTCCATCAGTTGTGTCGTGGCACTTCACCCTTACCCTGTAAAAACACGACCAGCCGAGGTCAGGTGTAGTCGCCATTTATGCCACGACCTAGTTTCGGCTAGGCGACCGCGATGGCACGTCACGACACATGTCACTCCTACTGCCTTCAAGTAGTTTGCCTGATCCATTCTATGCTTCCAAGTTCAGGTCAGCTATAGTACTAATTCGATTTTATTCCCTGTTTTCTCAGATCAGATTTCATGGACTACAAACTACACAATATCCTGCTTATCTAAAAAAACGTCTATCTTAGAAAAGCGCAGAGATTCTGCTCCGAAAGGCCACCACACTAAAGGCTTTCGGGATACTTAAGGGTGACTGTTCTGTGATAGCTATGAATTGCAGTACACGTGCCTACAACGACGGCTGAATGCGATCTCATCGAAGAAGCGATAACCTTACAGTGCATCTCCCCGTTGGTCGAATATGCGAATGCAGACCGATACGTCCTTCATCCTCCACTCAGCGAGATCGATCAGATGTGCCACCAGTTCAAAGAATACAAGAGATGTACCACTGGAATTCAACCAGATTGCAGGTAAACGCAAGAACTTTTCCCTGGGCGTCACGGTATTTTCTTCGATTTCAGGCGATCTCGAGCTCCTAACGTTGAACGTATGTACGAAGGAATGTGTGAGGAAAGCTTCCTGCGCCTTGTACGCGAAGAGTTGTTGTGTCTGACACAGCTGGAAAGGTATAGGTTTTTTGTTACTCAAAGGATAAAAGGATTGAGTTTCGGGGCGTTAATCAACCCGTCTGAGGGATGCACCCATGCACTCGGCTTCCCTTCAGAAACGTTGTGGCGTATTGAATGCGTATGTGGCCTATACAGAGAATTGCAGTGTCCAGACGATATAGAAGTCAGCGATCCTTCTAGACGAATCTGGTACCAACCATCCGACCTCGGAGGGATGGAAAGCTTGGTTGATCTAGACGGATATCAATCCGGGATTCGATCCGTGATCATGCACGTGTGGAATGCGCCACTTACAACCACACCACTTCCACCCTTTTCACTTGCTGGGCTCTATGAGGAACAGAGCGATTGGCGACCAAATTCACCAAGGAAGAGCTGGGAAATCAGCCTAGCAACTCATTTGGCCTACTAGTGTTATTTAAGATCTGCACAGCCAACTTTCCCTTTCCAGCAGACGCCGTCCCCAGTTGGAGTTTGCTGTTGACTAAAATAGTGACTCCTTCCAGTCCCAAGCTCACGGAGTTGTGGCAGAACATTTAACCCCACAAGGGATCTAACACCAACAATAAGAGGAATTTGAGCAGGGAGTAGAAGCGTTATTCTTCATTTCCTCTGCCCAGAAACTAGTTGGAGCTATGATATGATGGATCTGGGTGACCTACACGAGAAGTCTCGTACACGCTACGTGAGCGAGTACTTTGTCTCATTGAGCTACATCCGACTTCAACTAAATGTTCAGATATACATATGGAACTGCTTATTTCAGGGATACGAAACTACGAGAATGCTTTGTGAACAGGACGAACACCCTTCGAGATGAAGATCCCGGTATGTAATTGAGCTCTCTTTGAAAAAAAATCATTGTGCATCTCAAGCAAGATGGTATCAAATTGATTGGTCTTATCAGTTAGTTGTGATCGGAGCCAATCGATGAGCAAACAACACCTTTGAAAGCAAATATCATCAAATATGACCACATGTTTAGAAAGTGCTCAATTGAAATGCTATCTGTTTAGATGAGTGTTTCATCACGTAAACAATAAAATGTTTACGGGACTGAATAACTAGCGCGTACAGCAACGAGGGAGCAACAATTGAAACTTTTCAGGTCATCCCTCTGCTGGTAATCTCACCTATTCATCGTACGAATGTTTAATCACACAGACCTATATCGACTGCCTACTCGAAAGCAATTACAAGACGTGTAAGGAGGCTGTCAAGGTACTGCTTGCTACCTTCTTAGGAAAAGGCTCACACTCTGGTCAAAAATGTGAAAAGGACAAAAGTCTGGTATGCAAATCAGAGATACAGCTATGCGGAAGGTCTCCTACCTGTCGTGGTTCATGAGGATTGTCCAGTTTGATGGAGGGAAAGCACAAACGAGTTGAAACGCAGTCATAGCGGATGGGTTTGTGGATTTTTCCTCGAACTTGCTGCCCGCAGATGGCAAAGGAGTGGGTCGGGTGCCTAAAAGGCTAGATACTCTATTCCTTTTCGACCCCAACTGTACCAAAAAACGGTGAAGAAAACGATTGCTGTACCGAGAAGGGTTGAAGAAATGTTCTTGGTGAGAAGATTTCTGTCACTTGCTCCCAACCTTCTACCATGTATTGCGTCAAATACTCGATTTACTTGAGCTATCGGTGAGTAAGCGATGGATTATTTTGTGGGAACGACTCAAATAGGGTAATTCCCATGCTGTCCACATTCGAAACTACCCTTCTCTTGGAACCCTCAAACTGTTTGGGACCGAAAAAGTACCCCTTCCTCACACAAATATCGGTTTCTAAACCTTCTCACGAGCTTAGAGATCGTCCTTGAAGGTACATCATCAAGAACGGGTAGATTGGCAATGCGCAGCACTCCATTGCAGTCCACTTCCTACAGTAGCGTATAAGAAACTAAAAAAAATCGTATTCAAAGACTTTTTATTTGATCACGTAATCTAAAACTTCGCTAAGATAATGTATGATAGGCCGTTCATACTCCCCTTGATCAGCCTCAGATAGATTGGGCAAATATGTGCAGTGAATCCTGCAATATCGCAGTTGGCTTTACAAAAACTCCGTCAGAATCTTGTATGGCCACGGAAACCATATACTAATGAACCAATTGCAGCTCGAAATGGCAATGCTGTCGTTGCTGGCTTACCGCAATGGAAGTCACTGTGTGTTAAATACAGCCACTCCCAAGAAACGCCCAGAGCCAGGTAAGAACCTCCGAACGAAGTAAAACAATATGGCCTTGGAGCAGTTTATGACCGTTTTTACGGGTTCTGATAAGATCAAAAAACAAAGTTTCTGGACCCCTTCAACGCTATCTGAAGTCGTAATGGCGTCAAATCCGGTGGGCTTGTAGAAGGTGGGCTATTTGGTGTTTCTATTCTCCCACACAATCTCGGCATTTAATATCTGGGGATCGAACTCGAGAGGATAGACTACCAGAAGAACTGTCGATCCGGGGCTAGTTTTAGTGACCGGACGTGTGTGTAGCGCACCACATGGCCTTACTTCATTTTTACTTCTTCTCCTCGGAAATGGAGTAAATGTACCAATCTGACTTCTTTCAGAGAAACAACTAGAGCAGTGCGACAAACGAGGGAACTGCAAGTGTCGCCTAAGTGGATACTATTACGATAAGGAAAAGCGAAAGTGTATAGGTTGGTTGAAAGACTTCCCGTTGATCCAAAGCGGCGATCCGAGGCAGACCTCACAAATTCTCTAAGTAGCCACCTGATAAGTAGATCTCTCTGAATGCTTCAGGCAGGCGCCTTACTGTCCCAACTTGCCTCGCTTTCTCACATACAGTTTTCTCATACATGTATTCGTCTTTTTCCCTCCTGAATCTGATTCAATTCAGATGTTGACGAGTGCGTAACGGCTGAATCGGGTTGTTCACAAAAATGTGTCAATCATCCAGGAAGCTACGAATGCACCTGTGACCCTGGGTACTATCGTTTGGCCTCCAACAACAAGACTTGTATACGCAATGACAAAGGTGAGTTATTCTGCTTGAGTGTGGTATATTCTTCCCGAAAATCGCGTCGCTCTCGCCGCACCCGGTCGTGCGCAATCGCACACTATGAATAGAAGGGTTCGATTTCCGGTGGAGGACACGGAAGCCACCGCATAGCCACTGCCGCTGGGGGAGAAGTACCGCCACCCATTCCGCTACTGTGCCANCTGCTTAAAACAGCCTACAGGACTCTGGTAGAAGTAATAATCTGTGTCTGGGATTTGTCTGTAATCTGTAACCTGAGATTTACTCCTATCTAATCTAAAAAAGCAAAGTCTACCCAAAGTAAAATATGACGTGCTTCTTTAGACCCTATGTGGCTGTTCTTTGCACATGGTCAATCCATCTGGAACATTTCACTCAGTGGAGGCTCTTTCGAACTTCAAAAGGCTGGCTTGCAGAAAACAGCAGTGCTCGATGTCGATATAATGGTGAGGGTAACAATTTTTATTTATGATTGCATATATGCAAACTGATAGCATTGTGATATGCTGATGGTGTCTTGAGAGAAGTAGCCCTATCCAGCATCTACAAAGCATGTAGGAAATTGAGTGGATTCTAGAGGAACCCCATTTTAAAACAGGTCAAGCGACATTCAGCACAAATAACTCACCGTTGGGAACCAAAAAACTTGAATGTAATCTCAAGTGGCACACCAATCAAGGAATAGAGATGGTCTTCTATTCCGTATTTGGTATACTTTCATGGTTAAAAACATGTTCCTACCAACGTAAGCTAACACGTCCAATAGGAGGCGGAGCTCCGGGCGGAGGCGTTGCTGACGCTTCAGACGACATTTTTTCAGACTATTTTCGCAATAAGAACGTTACGTATTACGATGACAAAACTTCCTTTCGGAAGTTGCACGTCTTTACAATTGCCTCGGGTCAAAAGTATGTAAATCGTAAACCCTGAGGGAAAGGAGAAATGCAGCAGAAAATTCATGCCACATAATTTGGTCCTCTTTTTGATCTAGTGCAATCGTCAGAGTCTTTCTTCCGTAATCATTCCTTATTTTACTTATTTTGACTCCTTTGCGCTTCACCAAAGTAATGAAAAAAACAAGAATTCCTGATGACTTGGGTCTTGTGGAAAGTGCTATTTCAGGAACGTCGCATTTTCTACGCGGATGTTGGATCGAATTCGATTGAACGGCTAGACTTAGACGGTACATTCCCTCAGACCGTCCAGAAGTACGACGTTGATGGTCTTGAAGGAATCGCTGTCGATTGGATTGGACGCAATCTTTACAGTCTGAGGAAGTTTGTGTTATCGAAATTATGGATTATAACTTTTCATTCTTCATTTTTCATTCTTCTGCTAGTCGAAGTTACAAATTTCGCATTTTTGAATAATAACAAATATTGGACCGATGTAGCTAAAGAAATTGGATCCGTGCTAGTCGGGAATTTAGTTACTCTTAGTAGATGGCTTCCTCGAGTGAGCCAATAGGTCTATTTATGTACAAAAAGCCTTTTTGCAGAGCAGATGTCATTGTACAGACGCTTACTGGAAAATATCGGCGAGCGCTGTATAAAGGAGTGATGAGACTACCGAGAGCAATTGCGGTTCATCCAGCAAGAGGGTAAGTTCAGCAACAAAAAGGTTCTCAAAAGAATCAGCACCTAATACCCGACTTGTGATGGCGATGTCACATTGCTGGCGATAAAAGCACTTATTTTAAAAAGACCTCTCTTATATCCGACATTCACACAAACAAGAGGTTCCTTTTCATCTGAACGAGTTGGTCTGCTGATTGAGCAGTCATACTTGTCTTCATGCTCAGGTTTCAGGAAGGGGGAAGTGTGTGTGTATGGGAGAAATGGGGGAGGAGGG